AGAACGCTTAAGGTGATCAAGCAGTGTCACGCGGTCATAGGAATGGCCGTGTTTGGTCTGCATCCATGTTAATACCTTCAGCTCAAACAGCAGTTACGGGGAGAGTTTGGGACGAACGATGACAGGGTCCAGCATAACACTGAAGGTGATGTTATCAATCAGGTAATCCGGAACCTCCCTCTTTCCACACCTCTCCGCCTCGGCTTTTCCAAACACCTCCTCAAGAGTCTGAATTTTCTCCCTTGCAGCACTCCTAACACCATCAATCTTCTCATGGGTCTCACTTCCGGAGTAATCCCTCCCGCTGCTGACAGGGTCCCAGGTAGGGCAACGAAGAATAAGATCAACCTCGCGTTCTGCATCGCGCTCAATTATCTGTGTCATCTGCTTCAACAGGTTGCATTCGCGAGCACGACGTCGCTCCTCCGAGAGTTCCCAGCGCTTCTTCTTGACTTCAAGACATGTCGCTGCAATAGTACCAACGCTGGGAGAGCGTTGCGCAATAGCCAGTTCGTATGCACGGAGGGTGGATGATAGAGCCTCATTCGGATAGCCGAGTTTGAGCTGCGCTTGTCCGAGGTATGAATATGCTTTCACTATATTATCCCTGTTTGTGAGATGAGAGGTTTCGATACGCAGAATCCATTCGAAAGTGGTCATACGTGAAGATGGGATGAGATCAATAGCTTTCAAGCAATCGTCTATGACTTGATCGTACATGTCCATGCGCAATCTTACTAGCGCACGATTAGTGAAGAAAGCGGCATTCGTAGAGTCCTTTATAATTCTAAAACGTCCGAGCAATAATTTAGCATCCGTCCTCCGTGAAATCCATTTCTAGCAACTAACAAAAAACAAAACAAAAACCTACCTCCCTTAGGTGGGAGGAGGAAGAAGAGCTCACGCTTGAGTATAAAATTTCTCCGCACCGACATAATCCCCCTCAGCATAGCACCTATCGCCTCACCGTTAATGATGGCAAGCCGGAGACGGTGAAAGGGACAACTCACACGTTCCCCTGATTTTTCAGTTCTTCGGCCTTCATGGACATCTGCTTCAGGTAAGGAACCTTGTGGAGGGTTTGGAATTTTTAAGCGTATCGGGAAAGGAAAGGACCGACACAAATGTCGATCTTCGAGAGAGATAGAGAAATGGGGAAAGGTGCGGATGGTATTTGTGTTAGGCAGGTAGGTGTTGGGGTTCCAGTGGGGGGCGCAGCCGCTCGACTCGTGAGTGAGGCTCAAAAGGAGAAAAATCCGGGGGGAGGCGCTGCCGGGAGGAAACACGCAGGGATGATTGTTTGATAGGAAGGCTGCGCTGCGCCGCGATATGTATGTTGTAGTCGTATGTATGATATCGTGCGAGGGAGAAGAGAGTGTTAAGGTTGTGAGTGGAAAACAAAGGAGCTGGAGGATTGAGAGAAGGGAAGAGAGATGACACGCGCGAGGGAGCTGAGCACTTGAATGGGTACTGCTCGAGTCCTCGAGTGCAATCCTTCGTGTCTATTGTCGCCGGAATGCAAATCTGGCGAGCTGGTTTGTAATATCAGTAGAAGCTCCTAGAGAAACTTAAACTAAGGCCGAGGCAGCTTCGGCATAGTGCTCGAATAACATCGGCATTGTAGGAGAAATTCGCCTAAAAAAACCCCAGTGGCCACCTACAAGCTATAATAAGAAACTAAAGCCACAATACTATCAAAACTTTACAATAGCTCCGAAGCCCCAATGAGAACCCAAGCAACCCATCTCGTTACCCCCGAGAAAATAAAAGAATTTGCTCGAAAGAACAAACCTGAACATCTCCCCAGGATGGTGGGTGGGAATATGATACAAAATTATCCAATCCCGCCGCACCTGCATGTGGCGCATATTCAGACCAAGATCCTCCCTCATCTTCTCCGATCACACCTCACCACAGTGCCATCCTCAGCACGAGACAGACAACCAGACGCTGCGCTGCATTGTTTCTTATCAATGGATCTTATAATTTCACGAAATATCATAGCATAAGGTGTTATGTAGGAAATGTGATAAATACTACCCTCCGAAGCAACAAAGAGTAAAAATTGAAGAATTACAACCCAAGAAAAATATGAAGAAACGGGCCAAAAATAATAAGTAGTATTCCGAAGGGGGAAAAAAAAGGACAGGCCCTTTCATCCTCAGGGAACAGCTACTGCCGAAATTTAGCCCGCAGAAAACATTAGAATTGACAGAGCAAGAACCAAAGTCAATAAAAGCCAGCATCATTGACCTCGAGGTTTTTTTTTCACTTTTGTTTTTAAAAACCCTCAGTCAACACTGCCGATCAGCTTCAATCCAACTTATGCCCCCTCCTCCCTGGATTTTCTATAGCTAGCCTGTTAAACGATTATAGCGTAGTTAGTTCAGGCCTATCACAATTTTTGCTGAAAGTAATTTGATCATCTCCACCCTCGAGACATGATCTCAAAACTCCTCGCTTCTCTTGGACTTTATATCCCAAGTAGCAGCTCTGATCAGCCGCCACTCAAAGAATTAAACTCTCAAGAAGAAACTCATAGAAACAGAAACAGGATCAAGAACTCTCATACCTCTTGTTCAACCTGCAAGCTCTCAATCAACGGTGCCAGCTCGGAATATATTTCGAAAGCCTTCTTGTGGAATTCCAACTGGGCCTGAACCAAGTCCGCAAGATTCCTCAAAGGTTCAGGAGTGTCAAGGACATTCTTCATGACACCGACAGCCTCCTCTGTGTGCCCTATAAACTCGTCCTCAGCGGTCTCAACCTCCACTCTTTGCTCCTCCGTCAAGCCCTCATCCTCGGCAACACCATCTTTGCGCCCAGGGCCGCCGAGGCCAGGAAACCCAATACCCCCACCGTTCTTTGCTCTAGACTTCGCAGCATCGAGAGAGAGACGTGCGTTTTCAACGTTTTTGCGGGCCTTGGTAGCGAACATCAAGTTGGTGTTGAGAGTAGTAGTGAATGCAGCGTTAAACCTGGATACAATCTCAGCATCCTGCTGTAGACGAGCCTCGCCGACTTGCTCGCTAGCAAGAGCGTACTTCTCGAGAGCGGCAGCGAGGGGCTCGGCAGGATCAAGAGAGTGGGAAGCAGCAAGTGAAGCGCGGCCGATAGCATGGGGGAATGTTTTCGGGGCAGTTTTGGTACCGGGCTTGGTCAAGATATTCTGAGCTTCGGCAGCGGTACTGGCGTTCCCAAGGAGCTGAACCTTCTCGAAAGTAGTACGAGACAAATCGACAATGGATTCACGCTACCGCATGTCAGCACTGCCAAATATCCGGCCCAACCCAACTCCGGCCCGCTATCAGAGGAAGAGCAAAAGACCAACCAGATTCGGTGGGTAATCATAAGACTATCGGTTCAAAATCATGTATAGTTAGAACGCACAGCTCATCTATAATAAACTCCAAGGTCTTTGCAAGCCCACCTCATTTCCATATTGTGCCCTAGTGAACTGTCAGTAAGTGAATTCTTGATCTATCAGAAAGAGCTGAGGGAATAACATACGTAACTGCCAGCATCTTCTGGTGAACGTTCTTCAATGCATCGACACGTTTCTCAAGTTCGAGATAGTCGGGAGGTAGTTGGGTCTCCAGTAATGTTAGCTCCCAATCGACCAAATAAGCCCCCCAAAAATACGTCTCGGAAAACTAGTGGATAAAAATATAGAGGGGGCACGACATGAAACAAATGAGAAAACTATCCAGGTATCAAAGGGCAAGCGCAAATGATAAAAGGCCAGATGAAAAACATCTTCGAGTCACGATATCAGCATCGGAAGGAGTTCCGAGAGGCAGAGAACTGATAAGCAGATTCGAAGACAAACAAACAAGAAATAACCCGCCAATCCTCCGTGGCCACCGGGAGAGTCTGAGGAAAAAAAATAGACCATCACCGAATACCTTTTCATCAGCTTGCCCCAGCTGCTCCCGCATAAACTGCTGGGTGCGGGTAGCGAATGGAGTGAAGCTGGACGAGATGTTTTTGCCGAAGCCTTGAAGCTTGCTGAAATCCATACTTATTGAAGACGATGGTAGGATCGACGCGGAGTAAACTAAAAATTCCAGCAGGTCCGGTTTGTTCTTCGTAGGAGGAGGTTTATCACCCAGAGGAACGGAGGACGGAATGAAGGGGGAGGGGAAAGTTGCAGGTGGTGGACTCGGCTGAGATTAGGCTAGCTGCTAGGGTCAAAACGGCGGTGGTACTTTCTATTGACTTGAGGTCTGACTCGATAAGCCCGGTGATTATTGGCCGCTGAGCTGGATGCGCAAGGGGGCACGTGCTTGGCAAACGTACTAGTGACCTGAATTACTCAGATCGGTCCCTGTGCTACGGTTCGTTCATGTTTATTATTCACAGATGATCACTCGAAGTTCTATGTTTGATCGGAAAATCACCAGTGGTCCCCTGACAAGTGGATTTTGGAGGATACGGGAATATCCTCCCGTCGAGCGTTCGAAATCCTAATCGTTCAACCACTAGGGACTCCCGGTTATAGTCCAAAAACATGAATCTGCGGTTTCACCACCGGTAGGAAGCATAATCATTAGCAGTGGGCGACACCCTCCCACGAGCGAGAACATACTCAGCAGGTGCGGCGGTATGGATTAATATTAATATTCCATCCTTATCATCAGACATATCAAATCCTTGATATTCTAGTACTTTGGAACCCAGCGGGTTACCATCTCCCGCCCCCCCCCCAAACATAGACCTTACTCGGTAAAACTGGCACCCGCAAGCAGCTCCGAATAAGCCGGCTTAGGTGACAGGCGCAAAGAGTTTGGAATACGGCACACCCTATCAGGGACGAAAGTCCTCGATAATATTATGATAGGATTTAACGGTTACCGCTGGCCCCTCCAGCACAGCCGCACTGTGGGTCACACAACTACGTCAAAAGCCGCGAAATCCCGTTCCTAGGGTTTGCTTGCAGCAACTACACGAGCCCTACGGATAGATTGGGAGTGCGGCGACAGAAAAGAAAAAAAAAAAAAGGCCTCAATCCGGGATTGAACCGGAGACCTCCTGCATGAATGTTGTTTTACAATAACCCAAAGCAGGAATCATACCACTAGACCATTGAGGCATTATAATATGGACTTGGCAAGTCCAAAGCATACATAATTTATTGGTGACTTTCGATAATGAGCTTTTTGGGAGCAGTGAGTTGAAATCCAATTAACGGTACCGTAAAAACAGGTGGATTTCGCCAAGTCTGGACCAGGATCTCTTAATGCTAGTCTAGTGGGATATCATATGGCTTGGGATTTTTGTACAAGTAAAGAGTGGCTAGTGCTCGTTTGGTGTAAACCAACTCATGAGAAGATAGTCATGATTTGAAATAATTATTTGAGATAGCAGGGTGTTTGGCTTGGTAATGTTTCCAAATCATGATCCCAAATCATAATTTGAGATTATGATTTGGGAAAAGTTTAAAATTTAATTACGATTTGAAGATTTGGGACTATGAATGTTTTGTTTATATCATATCATACTCCTATGACAGGAAAGCCAAATAGATTGCATAGTTTATCATAGGAAAATCACAGTTGATATGCCCTACTTCTTTACTCAACTTCCTGGAGTTAACCCCAAATCATGATTTCAAATTGCGGCTATGATATCTCAAATCACAGCGAGCCAAACAGGCCCCTAGACTACGATAACACATCCTGGTATCATACGAACTTAGCGAATTTTGCCAGTTTTTTTTTTTTTTTACGGCACTAACGCTGGAGTGAGATACGGTATCCCACGGCAATCACGGGGGCCGCACATGTCCGGTTCAGGTTGAAGTGGCAATATCTTTAGGCCGTTCAGCCCGAATGGGACTGCCCTCAAATATTCTACGGGTACCGGTACGGTACTCCGCATACCGTGAGTGCCCGTACACAGGAGACATGTGCTAGAGCGTTAAGATTCCCCTTCCGGGATGGTCTGGGTGGTGGTGTGTGGAGAGATCACCGCAAGCTCATCCCTCCGTCAAGGCAGAAGAAAAGGCAGAAGCGCACGGCACCTTACCAAGAGAGGCAATTACAACGTCCTATGGTAGCACGTATCTCTTGTATCCGAGCACCTGCGGTACCGTAGAGACTTGAATAATTGAATTGTGTGCTATGGTGCTGGGCATTCTTCTCTCAGTAAGGTCTGGCAATTTTGCTTCTTCCTGTCACGGAAGAGGGAGAGGGACTGTGCTTCTGTTGTGTTTTTTCGCCCACCTTCCGGAGAAGGGAATTTTGGACTACATAGCATACGGCTCAGCCATCCTGGTTTCTATTGTACAAGTGCCATGCTGGTTAGAAAAGCAAGTAGGCGCTACTTGAAAAACATCTTGGAGCTATAGCATAACTCTGCTTTTATCCTGACGCTGGGATATCCACTCGCTCCCTAATTTTGCTAGCCCGGAGAGATTTACATGTTTACACGTGGTATTGGTAGCCTAGAAAATTTCCTGACCGTCTCGGTTGAATCTATTCCCAAGGGTAGGATGAGTACTAACTAACGAGTCGCTGCACCGTTAAGGGTAATCTTTTCTCTCTCCTTCGTTGCGAGATAGATCATAAAGTTTCATTGATACAAACAGGTCCCATGAAGTAACTAGAGGAAAATGACGAAGTATTGACCTTAACGGTCTAACGCTGCACATGAGCATTGAAAATCTCCCTCTGAAAAGCGATAAAACGGCAAACCATATGCAATCAGCTGGGTTGTATAACCCGATCTCCTACCACTCCCGTTTTAGTCATCGAACTGTGCAAAGTCCTCCGCACGTCTAACACCGCTCGCAAGTTGATAGCCTGTTCCTCCAATTGTTGCTCCGCAATCTGGACAAGGCCTCGCGTAAACGGCTCCTCCACAGTTTCCAATCGTGAACTATTTGGCGACCAATTAGCTTACATCCTGATTTATGATGGCAGCAGCCGTTGACTTACAGGATGGCCATTGGGACAAGTATACCATCTTCCTGTGCTGCTAAACTCTTCGCCCATTGCCTGATGAACAAGCCTCTTCTCCTCTGTACTAAGGGGAGCATAAAATACTAAGAGCCCATTAAGTAGCCGGCGAGCTTGGTCGACCCTATCTTTTAGGGGACCAATAGTGCCTGGAAGTTTCCTGCAGAGGTATTCACAGTAGTCGAGGGATTGGCGCACTTCCTCAAGGCTCTCAGGCCCAGCATCTTCAGGAATCGGTTCTTGGGGGGGTGGCGGTTCGGCTCCGCCAAGACCGAGATTGGCCATTCTAGCTTCTAGTGGCCTGTTTTGTCTCTCAGTGGTCAGTTTGTTCCGATAGAGAGCGAAGAACTGCGCCTGGTAAATTCGCGCTTCGCACTCCTGCTTTTCCATCTTTGTATCCTGGCAGTCGGTGATAAGTGTTCCGCATTCCGCCCGCATTTCCTTCAGTTGCGTAAGGAGGGCGTTTCTATGTGTCTTGCTGAGGCCTTTTGGGACTACCGGGTCGGTGCTAACCTTGTGCCGATCCCATAGATCCGCCCAACGTAACTGGAAAAACAGCAATTGGCCTTTCAATCTGAATCCGAATTGGACCGTCGAGCTGTCTATAACAAAGCTGCTCTGTGTGCCCTTGCGCTTTTCGGCGTTGAGCACTAGTTGGCGGACTTTGCCATAAGGTTGCTCCTCCTCCTTAACCTTAAAAACGTAAGCCTGCAGTCGCTTAGCAAGGCCTGTGTTGCGCTGCGCACGATCCAATAGTAACTGCGCCATGGGGGCTGTTCGGTCATTCGCAGGTCTGGTTCTTAGGTCCCGTATGAAATCATCCCGGTTGGCCTCCCGCAGATCCTCGGCATCGGAAACCTCGTTGAATAATTTGGCAAGCTCAACGTTGCTGCTGATACAGAAGCGCCGTGTGGCTTCATCGAGACTTGCAGATTTAATTATACGGTTATATCGGTGGATGTCCCTGAGAGGAGCTCTACAATCCGGACAATTTTTGATTTTCAACTTTTCCTTCTCTGAATCTCCATCCGCCGGTTCGTCGCTGCCGTCAAGCGGCCTTGGGCCCTCGATTCTGCCAAAAAGGTTAAATCTATACACCCTTTTTAGGTCCATATGATTGTCATATGTGTCCAGGGTATAGAAATGCCCGCATTTAGGAACGATGACTGGATCCTCGTCCAAATTGATGTTGCGGTAGGTCTCAAACATGATTAGATCGACCTCTCTGTCCAATATTTCGTCACTTCCGCATTCCTGGCAGTATTTTTCTGATGGGCATTCCTCCCCGCAGACAGAGGGACACTGGTGGGAACACGCAAGCTGCAGGTCGCAGCGCTCAAAGCATGGGTTAATGTCGCAAGGAGCGGCGCATGGCATCTCACAACGAACTCCTCGGTGCTGGCACGACCACCGACATTCTTCAGCGCACGGAGCACAGGCCTCTGAGCATTTCTTCCCGCAACGTGAATGTGCGCATCTAACCTCGCAGGGCTCACTACACGGTTTGCAGGTGTCGCCGCCATGACAAGGTACGCTGCAGCTGTGCTTGCAGTTGGTGAATTTTCTTCCACAGGCAACCCTGCACATACCATGGCTCGTGATGGGAGTTTGTTGGACGTCCTCGGGGTCAGGCCACCTAGTGCATTGCCTACACTTCGTCATGCATTTGTGGCCACAAGGAAGATTTGCTCCGCATGGCTCGTTGCATTTGTGCTTGTCTACATCGATATGACATCTTAGAGATACCACATGTCCACACAAGGGGAGTTTTCGCCTGACCTCCCTCTTGCATTTGACACCTGCGAGGTTTTGGAGTTCGAAACACCTTAGGGTTGGCGATACGTGCCCACACGGCAGCACGGCTCCAGGTACTGATACGACACAGTTGCCACAAGCGACTCCACATGCTTTAGGGCAAGAGTGATCACAGTGCTTAAAGGCTCGCTCACACATATCCATGCATACTGTGTTCCTATGGAGTGTGTCCGAATGGCATTTTTTGACACATGGATGGCCGCAGTCCAGTCTCCATTCGCAACGCTCATCACATCCGCCTTCGGGAGAGAAGACATGAAATTCTTCAGGAGTCTTGACTTTTATGGGAGTATCCGGATGCCGAGGGCAGCGAAGCGAAAGTGTCTCGTCGATGTTGCCTTCTTGTTCGAACATACCGATAACCTCCGACCACATTTTTACCCCATTGCAGGTGGCGGCATTACCAAAAATGTACATCCCGTGCTGAGCACGACTATTCATATGTTTAGCAGTGGATTACAGGTTTGGTAGTATGGAATTTACCTTAAGAGCACGTTGATCCTATTCGAGGTTCGCAAAAATCCACATTTGCCGGCGTCATTGCTTCTGACCAGTGATATTACCACAACCTTGGCCTCCTCGCCCTGATGGATCCCATAAAATTTAGCCACAAAGTCTCGACAAACCGGGGGTTTATACTTACTTGAAAGTTATCCACGGTGGCAACTCTTACTTCGTTCAGTAAATTTCCTTTGTTCACTTCCCTTCGTCCCGTGGTCGGTGGGTCTAGTTCCAAATCTCCATCTTCCTTCGATTCCTCCAAATCGAGCTGTTCCTGGTCTCTGTCTCCAATTACAACATCAAAAACCGAGCCCAATTTCTTTCTCAGGTTGAACATCTGCCTCAAGTAGGGTGTCAATACTGCGATATCACCACTCTTATACACCCCTTGCCGAGACAAATGTCTCACAAGCCCAACGACCATACCGACCTCAAAATCGTTCGCGTGAGAGGTTTGTATCAATTCCATTTTGTCTGCTCCCGCTTCGGGGTGTTTATGATCCATCCAAAACAACCGCTTCGCCAAGCCTGGAACGGGAGGGTGGTTGAGCGTGGTGAAGTGATCGTGTAATTTAGGGTAAAGTGGTTTCCTGATCAAGGCAGAAATAGATGGATGCATCCGTCTTTGTGTCTCCAACTCTGCGATAGGAAACTTCCTACCTCCGTACCTTTCGTGTTCGACTGTGCGCTCAAACAGCGAAGTGTCTAACCCATATTTTCCCCCTCCCTGAGGATTTTCAACCGAGTAGTCGTGATTCATGATCTGGGGCCGTAGCTGTTGATGATCTCCGATGAGAATGGTATGTTCTAACGTCGG